TCTCAACCACTGCGCCACCAGGGAAGCCCTGCCCATTTTTTAAATTGGGTTATCGGTCTTTTAATTGTTTGGTTGTTAATAGTTCTTCATATATTTTGGATACTAGACCCTTATCAGATATATGATTTGCAAATATTTCCCCCCATTCTGTGAGTTGTCTTTTCACTTTCTTGATAGTGTACTTTGAAGCACACAAGTTTTACATTTTGATGACATCAAATGTGTCTACTTTTACTTTGGTTGCTTGTGCTCTTGGTGTCTAAGAAACCATGTCTAATCCAAGGCCATAAAGATTTATACCTGTGTGTTCTTCTAAGTGTTTTATAGTTTTAGCTCAAATGCTTTTTCTGCACCTATTTTTTTTAAAGGAATAACTGTTTTTTGTTTTGTTTTTGTTTTTTAATATTTATCGCTGTGTTGGGTCTTCGTTTCTGTGCGAGGGCTTTCTCTCGTTGTGGCAAGCGGGGGCCACTCTTCATCGCGGTGCGCGGGCCTCTCACTATCGCGGCCTCTCTTGTTGTGGAGCACAGGCTCCAGACGCGCAGGCTCAGTAGTTGTGGCTCACGGGCCTAGTTGCTCCGCGGCATGTGGGATCTTCCCAGACCAGGGTTCGAACCCGTGTCCCCTGCATCGGCAGGTGGATTCCCAACCACTGCGCCACCAGGGAAGCCCTTTCTGCACCTATTGATAGGATCGTGTGGGTTTCATCCTTTATCCTGTCGATATGGAGCAGGCACTTTTTCTACTAGGAAGGCCGTGGTCAGTAGCATGGACTTGGGAATCAGCTGCCCGGGGATGAGCCCCCAGCTGCACCCCTTACTCACTGTGTGACTCTGGACAGGGAGCTTCACCTCTCTGTGCCCCATTTTCTTTATCTGTAAAATGGGGGTGACAGCACCTCTTTGTGGGGTTCTTGTGAGGGTAGATGATGGCTTTGCAGACTATGTGGAGTAGTGTCTGGCACATAACAAGTGGGGTTTATTGACTGTTGGCCGTTAGCTGTGACATTACTTGAAAGCTTTGGGCTGGGGTGGGAAGGGCCTTGAAGGCGGATCTAAAAGCCAGGCAGATTCACCTGCTCCGAAAACTCCAGAAGCTCTGACCGGAGGTGGTCTGTTTGACTCCAGGGATCTCCGAGTCTTCCCATGGGAGGCCTGGGTCCAGGGTGGACCCCCTGCCAGGCCAGGTAGGCAACTGACACAGACCGGCCTGCTGCCACACGCTCCAGTTTGTTTGGCCTGGAGTGTCACGCCTTGTTAGGGCTGGGCTGGAGGGGCTGCAGCAAGGAACCTTTGCGCAGAGCGCTTCCTCCTTCCACAGCCTGCCAGCCCCTCACCAGTGTTTCCACCCGGCTCTGACTCTGGGCAGGGTGTGCAGAAATGGGGCCTGTTTAGATAATGGCTTACAGCTGAGAGCCAGGACAACGCCCCTCCCACCCCGCCGCCAGCCCTACCTCCCTGCTCTGATGTCCCTGGCTTCTCTTCCCCTGGCCTGCCATGTGAGCCTGGCTCCTTGTCCTGGCCCTGTATGTGGCTGTCATGACCTTGGGCAAAGACTGCCTCTTTGGGCCTCTGTTTCAGCATCTGTCCCTGAGGAATACGAGTGCCCCGTGCAGAGGGCCTGCCTCGCCGTCTGCCAGGGCTCCACCCTCCCTGGGTCCCCGAGAACCTGCCATCACTGTGCGCCTGTTTGGAGTTTGGACTTCGCTGGCGGGGGGCGGGGAGGGAGATTAAAACACTTTTAATGTTCCCTGTGTAATTCTTGGCACTGGCTTTTATGAGATATGTGAAGCTGGATCTTACCTTGGTTTCAGTGTTTTAATGTACTGACCTCCTAGCCAGCCAAGTAGCTAGAAGCTGTTGGAGACAAGCTGCTTTACTGTTTGCTTTCGGTTTGGTTTCCAAGTTTCTGGCGGGGATGGGGGTGTCACCCCCATCCCACTAATGCTCAGCCTTTCCCAGCTCCTGTGCCCAGAAATACAGGGTGGTCTTACCTCCTGGGAGCTGGTGCCCTGAGAGGTAGACTGAGTAGTAATAACAGGCCAGTCATGCAATTTAACAATCAGTAGAGAGATTCAGAAGACACTTTGTTTTCCCACGGATAATCTGTTTTGCCCTCACTCGGTGTCTGGCACCAGGAGCGTCCTGACGAACAGAGCACACCCAGCTCCCAGAGCTTCTCAGAAAACCAAACACGCCCGGAACCCACAGGGTGAGCGAGCACCCCTCCAAGAGTGGGGACTCAGGAAAGCAGCAGCATGGGGGTGGGGCCGGGGCTGGAGTGTGGTGGCAGGAGGAGGGCGATGCCTGTGCTCGAGTGTGGCCCGTCGGGGTGACAGAGGGGTCGGGAGCCGCCTCTGTTAGGTGGCGAGAGGCTGCATGCCAGGGGTCCCTGTGTGACTGCGAGCCGCTCTTTAATCCCCCCACCCCCCTCAGCGTCCTCCCCACGGGATTATTTGCAGACTTCAGAGGCGATGTACGTAAAGCCCTTGGCAGTGCTAGACCTGGGGTAAGAGCTGAAGGGCTGGTGTCGTTCCCGTGATTATCATTAAGCTGATACTGCCTATGAAGGGGGAAGTCTTTTTTTTTTTTTAACATCTTTATTGGAGTTTAATTGCTTTACAATGGTGTGTTAGTTTCTGCTGTGTAACAAAGTGAATCAGTTATACGTATACATATATCCCCATATCTCTTCCCTCTTGCATCTCCCTCCCTCCCACCCTCCCTATCCCACCCCTCCAGGGGGTCACAAAGCACCTAGCTGATCTCCCTGTGCTATGTGGCTGCTTCCCACTAGCCATCTATTTTACATTTGGTAGTGTATATAAGTCCATGCCACTCTCTCACTTCATCCCAGCTTACCCTTTGGAGGGTGAAGTCTTTATTGCCCCAGAACAGTGTTTATAGTTGATTGAGTGAAAATTTGAGTTACAAAACAGTACCTCGTTGTGGAGCTGTGTGTGTGTGTCACATGCCCAAGTGTGGGCTAGGAGGTAATCGCAGTCGTATCTGTGACTGTGTCTGGTTTTCACTTCTAGTTGATCTTCAGCCTTTGCCATTATCATGTGTTGGTTCCGTCATTACAGAAACACTATTCGAAAATGTAATGAAAGTCTATGCTCTCATTCCCGGGGCATGTGGGTGACTGCGGCGGCGTATGGGCCATCAGATGGGGTGGGCAGGGGCTCTGAGGGGGCCCCGGGGAGAGGGCGGTGCTGACTCGGGCTTCTCCTCCACCCCCAGATGACAGGATCTGCTCACCACCCTTCATGGAGCTCACGAGCCTGGGCGGAGACGACACCATGCGGCTCCTGGAGGAGAATGGCCTGGCCTTCCCGTTCAGTGCGTATCGCGCCCTGAGCGCGCCACGTGGGGGCCGGGTGGGCCTTAAACTTCCTGAGGGTGCAGGCAGGCCTCGGCCGCCGGGGAGAGCATGGCCCCGGGTCCCTGGGTTCCTGGGTGGTGAGGGCCTGGCCTGGCGGCATCCGTCCAGCTCACCCGCGGGCAGGTGCTGGCCCTGGTCGAGTCCGCGCCGCCCTCCAGCTCCCACCTGCCCCTCCCCTGAGGGGCTGCAGGAGTTGTTGAGAGTTTCTCCCTGTACCTGCAAGGCTGGGCTTTGTGGGTGAATAACCTCGCTCACCCCTCTTTTTCTCTCCCCCACCCACAGTTTGCAAAACCAGAGTGGCTCATGGCACCAACTCTCACGAGGTGAGTGGAAGATGTGACGACTTGACTGCCCTGCCCCCCGCCTCCCCACCCCGGCCATCCCCCTGCCCCCGATCCTTTCGGCTCGCGGTGTCTCTCTGGGAGCCCGCCTAGCCTGCTGCTCCTGAGGTTGTGGCTTTGTACGCTGTCTCCACCCACACCCTGTGCCTGTCCTGTCCCCGAGGCCGCGATGGCTGTGCCTGCCCCCTTTGTGCCCGTGCGAGCCAGGCCTCCATCTGACCAGTCCTTTGGCCTGTCGGTGTCGGTCACTTCCTGCTCCGTGCCAGGCACTGGCCTGGGCCCCACTGAAAAGATGCCATCGCTGCCCACAGGGATGCCAGGCCTGCTGAATTTGGGAAGGGGGTGAGAGGAGGAAGGAGCACCCTACCTGCCGTGTACGTGACTGCCCCACCCTCTCATTCATTCCTGTGTTCACTCAGTAGTCCTTCCCGGCCTTGGGTGCCCCGGGAAGGATGCGTAAGATGTGAGTCCTGCCCTGGTGGGGAGCACAGAGTCCCGGAGGCGGAGGGTACCAGTGGGGTGTGGTTGGGAGACTGAGCGGAGGAAGCCTTTTGGGAGCTAATGGCTGGGCAGGGGCTCTGCTGGGCCTGTTGCCGTCCTTAAGAACCATGCCTGGGACATTGTCTTCAGGGGCCCAGCCCAGCCTGGGGACCCCCTCATTAGGTGCATGGGAGGACACCCTGGGCTGTAGACATTTGACCCACCCAGAAGGCCCTGTGGGAGAGTCTGTCGCGGGCAGCCCCAGAAATGCTCCCCCAAGACCTATGACTAAACGTGGACAACCCCGGCGTTGCGCCCTGGAGAAGATGTATGTAGTGTCTTTATCCCTGGCGTGTATTTATGGGGAAATGTCTGTAAACAGATGCGTCCCTATGGTGTGGTACATGCCGTGATGGGGCTGCAAGGCCGAGGAGTCCCTTTGCTTGTGGGGGGGAACGTGAGGGCAGGAAATCCTGGCCTGTAGCAAAGGTCAGCTGTCTCCTAAGGTCAGGAGCCCTCGTGGAGCCTTTCCTGTCCAGGCCTGCCTGGGCTCCGGGCCAGGGGTGTGCGCCTGGGCCGGGCCCCGGGAGGGAGCAAGAAGGCTTCAGAGCAGCCAGAATTGTGTCCCTGGAGCCCACACTCCCCTTGCTGGCACCAACACCGGCTCCCCAACCTTCCACCTGGCCCTTTTCACCACCAAACGGTTCCTCTGTTGGTCAGTGCCTCGGGGTTTTCAGGACAGAAAGGCGACTGTGGTCATTGGTGTGATTAGGCCGGCCTAATGCAGAATAGGTGAGCCTGCCAGGAAGGAACCGCTTCTGCTGTTGACGTAAGAACTTTGGAATCACACCAGCCTGGGACCAGGTCTGGTTCTGAGCACCACCGGCTGTGTGACTTTGGGCAGATTACCCAGCCTCTCTGAGTTTCCGTCCCTCACTTGTAACTGGGGATATGGTGGCTGTTGTGAAGGATAAGGGAGTTGCTGCATGTGCTGCCATGGGGCCTGGTCCAGGGAGTGTTTGATACGCTGTCGTGGAACCAGTTGCCCTGGAGCCCGCTGGGTCATTGCTGACGGGGCGGGGGTTCCGGATCGAGGTGGCCACCCTCCTCCAGGGGAGTCTTGACTCCATGGGGTCAAGCGCCTTCAGGGAAGGCTATTTCACCCCTCAGTCCAGTTATCCAAGTCTGGCTCCAAGGTGTGTGCCACGTCTCCCCCAACTGCCCCACCCCTGGGCCTCCCCCAGCCCGCCATGCGCTGTTTCTGGGAGGGGCTCCTCTGCTGGGTGGGGGTCAGGGACAGAGCCCTGAGATTGGGATCTGGGGTGTTGCAGATTCCCAGGGGGCTTGTGTGCCGCGGGCCGTCTGCCTCCTAGGAAGCTGTTAGCATCAGAGGGACGCCCCCTCTGGTGGGGCGCCCTCCGTGGCGTGAGCCTGTGGGTGGGACGCCGAGGCTCGTCACATCTCTGTGCTCGTGATGAGCTTTACACAGGAAAGGGGGCTTTCTGACCGGGGTCCTCACCTGTACCCCAGTCTGCCCGAGCCCTACCTCTGATTCCCCGGTCCCTCGCTCAACTGAAATCGGGACTAGTTTGTTTTCATCTTAGGTTCACACGATGGTTTGGGCTCTTGTCTTGGCTTTAAGCTGGTGTAAGCACGCAAGTTTGCTCCACAGTGGAATACCGCACCCCCTCCTTTAAAAACAAAAACAAAAAGAACCCCCACTGAGCCAAAAGCTCGGAGGACCCCGAAGCTACCCCATGGTGGTTATTTTATTTATTTATTTATTTTTAATTTTTTTTGGCCACACTGCGCGACATGCGGGATCTTAGTTCCCTGACCAGGGATCGAACCCGTGCCCCCTGCAGTGGAAGTGCGGAGTCTTAACCATTGGACCGCCAGGGAAGCCCCACCATGGTGGTTACTGATGCTATTTCACAGGTGAGGAGAACGGAGCTTAAACAGGGCTTACGCAGCGAGTGCCAGGGCTGGGTCTCGAACCCGTGTATGGCTCTCTTACTTTCGTCAGATGGCTAAGGAGATAAGCACGCGCGCGTGCGCGCGCACACACACACACGCACTTTTTGTTTCCCCGTGTGGCCTGGATCTCTACTTCTGGCCCACCCAGCTGAGCACCAGGCACATCGTGGTGGTGCCCTGTGACAGTTGCTGTGAGAGGCAACAGCCAGTGTGGTGGCCAGCTGTCCAGCCCCGTTACCCCTCTCAGCAGCTCTGGGCATCTGGTGGCTCCTTCCTGGGGCCCCGTGGACTTGAACGAAGCATTAGCCGTGGCCCCGGCACTGGCAGCTGACTGCAGTGGGCCCTGCCTCAGCCAAAGCGGGCAGGCCTTCTCCAGCCGCCCCTCTTCCCATCTCGACCTCAGTCCCCTGCCGGACCCTCCTGGTGGAGGCCTTTGTCCCCAGAGGATTCAGGGACGGGGAGCGGCATGTTCCCGTTCCTCAAGTGCTCGTGTGGCTCACTCAGTGTGTAAGACGGCAAGGCTGGGGGCTGTTGGACCCCAGCCCATTCTGGGCTCTGTCACTTTCCAGCAGCCACTAAGTGCCTCGGGGCCTCAGTGTCCTCATCTGTAAAAGGGGCGTGGTGTCGGTGCCCACCTCGGGGGTACAGTGTGAGGGAAACACCAGGTGACTCATGCAAAGTGGTTAGAACAGGGCCGGGTGTGTCATGAGCGCTCAAAAGGCAGCGCTTGTCATTATGCAGGCTTGGACCCAAGGCCTCCCAAACCCTGATCCATTGTCTTCCGCTTCCTGGCCCAGCCACCTGCCCCCCTCCCCACACCACCACCCCCCACCCGACCAAAGACTTTGTGGAGGAACCTCTAGGAGGTCATAAGGGTTAAGTAGTACACAACCCAGGGGGTCCCATTCCCTGGGTGCAGTGTGAGTAGTGGAATTATGCAGTGCACAGCCAGCTCATCCTTCCATGGCCGGCCTGATGGTACAGGATTTCCAAACCCTCATAGCAGGCGTGGATTGATCCCCAGGTGTTCTTCTAAAGTCCCCCTCCACTCACCCTGGCTTGAAACTCTTCCTGGGGAGCCCTTGTGCTACAGGACCAGGGGTGGGCCTTGGTGGCAGTGCTCTGGACAGGTGACACACTCCATGCCGGAGGCTGAGGAGGTGGTGGATTCTGACCAAGCCCTTGGCCCCCTGTCTCCCCAGATGGCCATCGTGTTCAACCAGGAGGGCCTGAGCGCCATCCAGCCGCCCTGCGTGGTCCAGAATTTCATCAACCACAACGCCGTCCTGTACAAGGTGTTCGTGGTCGGCGAGTCCTATACTGTGGTCCAGAGGCCCTCGCTGAAGAACTTCTCCGCGGGCACATCAGGTAACTGAGCGTCGCGCCATCTCTGGATGCCCTGAGCTTAGGGGCGTGGCTGGAGCACGGCACCAGCCGCCAGTTTCTGGAGCGGGGAGAGGTGATCTGAAGGTTGGAAGAGCTGTGTCCAGTAGGTAAAGAGGTCTTGGGGCACGCCAGGTCATTTTAGGGGCTCCGTCTGTCTCAGCTACCATAAATTGCAGGAAGAACCTGAAAGCTCTCTGCCCCCAGGCCACTTCCCGGGGCCCCGTGCGGTCATGAGGCCCACAGGGAACACGCTGGAATGGATGATGGTCCCTTAGGCGAAGCCAGGGAGGGGGAGGGAGGGAGGGGCCCCTCATATTTTGAGGACCAGAGCGCTGGCTGCTTTATCACGTCTCCTTTTTGCAACTGGGAAACACTGAGTTACCTGCTGCTTCTGCAGCCGCTGAGGTGGACGCATGCTCTCTTCGGAGTCAGCACACAGGGCGCAGGACTTCCCGGCTGTGGCACCCCGGGCAGGTCAAGGGTGGCCACAGTCAGCCTGCCGGGTCCCCCACAGGGCTGAGGAGCGCATCGGTGAGCGTGTTTTGGATCAGTGGATAATGGTCCTCCGTGTCCCTCAGATGTCACGCAGTGGTGGCATTGCAGGGTTCTGCCAGCGTTGGGGCATCTGAGGGGGTCCTCTAGGGAGACTGGGGGGCTCCACGCGCTCAGCTTTTCTTCAGCTGCTCACCAGCTGCAGGTGACCCTTGGCCGTTTCAAAAACTTACACTAAGATAAGGATTTGCTGGTATTGGGGCCGCTTAAAAGACTGTTCTAGTGGTTCTGGAGGCGTCTCTAAGGCAAGTTCCAGAAACCTTTGGAACAGTGGCAGTGTCTCTGGAATAAGCACGGTTTTCCAGGAGGACCCCTCAGAGGACGTCTGGTTGCCCTGGTGTGTTTTGCTCTCACTCACTGTGTGTTTCTCTCTGGACGGGAAACCCGCCATCACCAGATGAAATGTCCAGGCTGCGTTATTTCCCTCTGAGCAAACAGATGTGTCTTCCTAAAATCCCTCTGTGGGACTGCCTGTCACCATCCGCTCCTCATGGCTTCAAGCCACTCCTCTGTTTTTGTTTTTTTTTTAATTAATTAATTAATTTATGTCTGTATTGGGTCTTCGTTGCTGCGCGCAGGCTTTCTCTAGTTGCGGCAAGCAGGGGCTACTCTTTGTTGCAGTGCGCGGGCTTCTCTTGTAGCGGAGCACGGGCTTCAGTAGCTGTGTCAGGCGGGCTCAGTAGTTGTGGCTCACGGGCTCTAGAGCGCAGGCTCAGTAGTTGTGGCGCACGGGCTTAGTTGGTCCGCGGCATGTGGGATCTTCCTGGACCAGGGCTGGAACCCGTGTCCCCTGCATTGGCAGGCGGATTCTCAACACTGCGCCACCAGGGAAGCCTCAGGCCACGCCTCTTGACTGAAGTCCAGCTGTTCGCATCCTGTCTCAGCCGTTCTTCCCATTAACGCAACCCAGAGAGCAGACACTTTGGAAATGTGTGTCTCCCTCCACTGCCCTTCTGAGTGCTGGCGGGGCTTTCAGGGCATCCCGGTGCTCACGCTCGTCCTTCCCTCTACCCACTGGGCTGATGGAATGATCTGGGGCGGGGGGGACCGATGTCAGGAGGGGTCTTTTTGTATGTGACTGTGTACTGGCAAGAGGCATTCTTATCAATTGTGGGCAGGATGAGGCTGATGTTCTTTTAAGCCTGTTTATATTGTTTCCTGATTTTTAAACATACGTTCTTTAAGTCTACGCAAAATGTATTAAGGGAAGAGTAGGTATGCCTTTTTATTTATTTTACCAAAAATCACTCCATCTCTAAAAGAAATATACCACGTGGTTTCCTTCCTTTCCACATGAAAAGTCCCTCTTTTCCTTCCCTTTTTCTCCTGGTTGCAAAGGCCTGGGCCAGTTTCCATCTGGGAACAACAACACAGAGCTGGGCGTGAGCTCTGTGTCCCGTGTCTGAGGACAGGGGCTCCGCATCTGTGTCTTCTCATGGCCATTCCAGGTTGCCAGTTTACCATAATATGCAGTCTGGGGCCGAGTAAATCAGTGGAGAAACACAGAGCTAACGGAGAAGTGTTTATTATGCCCAGGCGAGCTGAGTGATTTTCACTGTGTCCATCCCTCCATCCCCAAAAACTGATTCTGTGTCCACTGTCTTCAGGGCATCACACCAGCTCGTTGTTCTTTCCACGCGTTGTGTTCTCTTTCTGGATGAGAAGCACAGTGTGACAGCGGCTCTTTAAGCTGGACCAGTTGAGCAGGGGGCTTTAGGGCTCTGGCTTCTTTCCAGCCCCCTCCCAGCTTTCTGGCTCCCATGGCCCTGCGTGGCGGGCTCGCCGGCCTCCCCTGTCCATGCAGGGAGATGGAGGCTCCTTGAGTGGGATTCTTTTGACCTGCAGTGGCGATGAGGACACCAGCTTTCAAACTCCACAACTACTGTGCTCTTTTGATTCTCAGATGTACTTTTGGTTTTCACCTGTTAGCATCTCTGAAGTCTGGTGTGTCTTACGGCCACAGGCCTCTTGCAGTTGCCTCTGCTGGAACTGAAGACACGTTTTTACAGAGAGGGTTGAGATTGGCCTGTGCCAGCCCCAGGAACACATGTTCTCTGCCCTTGGTCCACGGTCTTGGGGAGACTGCTCCCCTCTCTCCACTAGTTCCAGAGTCGCAGTGGGTGTGTTTCTCTGCTCCCCTTTCTGTGCAGTGGGTTTATTTCTGTTTCTTTTCCTCTGCGGGCACAACGCCTTTGTTAGACTCTGCACGTGGGCCTTTTTTTCCTTAGGGGTGTGTATATAAAGGAACGACACCGCTTACCACATAGAGCAAGGGTCAGCAGGCTTTTTCTGCAAAAGTCCAGAGTAAGTGTTTCCAGCTCTGTCATAATTATTTAATGCTGCTGTTGTTGCCTAAGAGCCGCTGTAGACAGCATTGTAAGCAAATGGGCGTGGCTGCGTTCCAATAAACCTTTATTTACAAACACAGGTGGCGGGCCAGATTTGGTGATCTTGCATCGAGAGGCCCTCAGGTGTAACAAATGCCCTGTTTCCTTGTACCTGCCAGGCGCTCAGCCCTGGGATCCAGCAGGGAACTAGATAATCAGCCAAGTGTCCTGCCCTCGTGTGTTCATCTTCTAGCGGGAGAAACTACACACCAGGGAAGAAGAAATGAAAAGACGAATTGTGGCAGCACAGATGAGGGACCGCAGAGGAAACAGTGGGTCCTGGGACACCGCTGGGTGAGGGGAGCCACTCGGGCAGGGCAGCCGGGGCCGGCCCCTCTGCGGAGCTGATGCTTGCATGGGATCTGGGAGGAGACTTGGGCCACTGTCTGCAGCGCCATGACATGCTTTACCCCCGCCCCCCGCCAGAGATGTGAAGATTAAGCAAATGAAGCTGAAGAAGGTGTGGCCACAGCTCACAGCTGCACCCTCAGACCCTCTGGGATATTTGGGTGCTAAACTTGTCACTTACTCTGCTTCTTTTGAACCTCTTTTTCTTGTCTGTAAATTGGGGACAAAAATACCCATATTCCTCTTATTGCCTCCCCTCTCCTGTGGGCGTTCTTGGTGGTTCTTCCCGGGGCTCCGTGTGACTCGGGACTAGTCCAGGAACAGAGAGGGGATGGGCCCCCCCAATCCAGGGTGCACCTGTGATCAAGGTGCAAGGGCCCAGCCAGGCTTATCTTTAGGGAACTCAGTATCCTGAAGCTACCCAAGGAAACTGGCACCAAGGGATGCTCTGACCCTTTCTGACCCATCTCGGCTTCCACAGTCTCCTGGTTCATCAAATGGCCGGAATCCGCTCCCACTCTGTCCGGCCCCTACTCAGGCCGCACGTGGGGAGGATCTGAGTAAAGGGCAGCTCTCCCCTCCCTGCTAAACAGTCCTCTGGCCAGGGCTCCCAGGTCAGCGTTAGCCAGGAGGAGAAACGAGTCTCCTTTGAAATGGCCCACACTTTCGATCTTGCCACAAGAAGCTGTTGGGTGACAGCTTGGCTGTGTCCACCTGCTCTGGGTGGCCTTTCTCTCCCCAGGCCTGCTCTGCCATCCTGGCGATTGCCCTTGGGTCCCCCAGGGTGGGTGGGAGGCGCCCTGAGCTCAGTAGGACTGGGCCAGGCTGGGCTACAGGCTGAGAAGGTGGGCAGTGCCTACAGAAGGCCGGAACGCCCATCCCAGCTGCTCCGGGCTCTGGCCCGTGGAGCTTGCCACCCTCCGAAGGCTCACTCTTCTTGGCTGTCGGCGCCCAGGAGTCGAGGTCGGTGGGGCTGCTTGGCACCAGTCCTGCAGGGTGTTTATTTTCCCCAGGCTCCTCCCCAGGACCGTCTCTCGTGCCCCCCGTCTGGACTGGCTCTGGTCGGAGCGGTAGGAGGACTTTCGGGCACACCAGGGCGGCAAGGGGCCTGCATGCCCCGCTAGCGGGAAAGATGCCAGGTACATCTCAGCGCCTGCCTGCTCAGCCTCCGCCCGAATCACTTCCTCATGCATGATTGTCGCGGCGCTGTAATCCTGGAGGTGGTGGGGGGCGGGCGTTGGCAGCCAGAGCAGGTGCCTCCTCGGTCTGGCCCCTGGCACACAGCGGTGCTCAGCCAGGGCCCTTCCTGGCCTGCGCTTAGAGGCCTGGGTCCCAGGGATGAGCAATGTGTCCTGGGGGACGGGAGCCGTAATGCCCTGCCAGGAAGGACTAAAGCAGAGGCTGCTGGGGCCACGTTGGGGCTCGTGGCCCGTGCCATTCTTGAGGTGGGGGGATCACAGTGTGATGATGGTCTTTACCAGATCCCAACCCCGAGGCTCGTGGTTTTGTGCTTCGTGCATTTGTGTGCCGCACTTCCAGCTGCTGGAGAACGTGTTTCTGACCGACTGACCTGCCTTTACTCTCCAGGGGGTGAATGAGCAAACCAGCTGCTCGTCACCCCCAATAATCTTGGGATTGATCTGCCTCTCGGGTGCCCCCGTGGGACCGAGGGGGCCCAGGGGGCAGTGGGAGCAGAGAGGGAGGGGGTGGGAGATGTGGAGGGTATTTCATGGGGCTGTGCTAACTTCCAAAGCCAAACTGTATGCTTTCTTGGATGGGTCCTACAGAAGCCCATGCTCTGATTTCCGATTTTTTCCTTAAGTAGTGGGGAAACAGCAAAACCCTTTGTATTTTAAACACTCACGTGCCAAGTGGCAGCCTAGCCATTTCTCAGCGGCTACCCTGAAAAGGCATTCCGTGGGCAGAACCTGGAGGGGAAAGCTGGATTAAATGACATCAGTTGACCTCTTGACTCTGGGCCTTTGATATGCACATATGCAGCATTTCCCACTCACTTAGCCCCCTTTCTGGTGCCGTGTCCGTAAGACACTCTAGACACGCTTTGGGGAGGGGGGGCCTCGGGTATTGGGGAAAATCAGGTATGGTTATGTAAGACGAGAGCAGAGGCAGAGGTGCGCTCATCAAGCCGTTCATTTTTATACGGGAAGGAAAATGGAAACAGGAGCCCTGCCTGGGCGTGCGGGTCTCCGTGGCGTCATGTCTTCCTGGGGTGGGTAGGGAGGCCCAGGTGGCTGCCGCTGGACGCTGAGCCTGAAGGCCACTGTGGCCTATGGCTGGGGTGGTGCTGTCCCCTGGTGTCGGGTGCTGGAATCACCGTCCCTGCCTCGAGCTTCTAACTCCGGCTTCTTCCTGTCTTTGCTTTTTCAGACCGTGAGTCCATCTTCTTCAACAGCCACAACGTGTCCAAGCCAGAATCGTCATCGGTGCTGACCGCGGTATGTCCCTCCCGCCGAGCCCTGGGTGTGGGGTGCTTTTGGCTGTCCAGCGGGGCAGGGTGGCAGGACCTTCCCCCCAGCCCAGGGACCCAGGGCGGTTCCAGAGACCCCTCTTCCCCGCTTGCTTCGGGCCTTCATGCCAGTGGTCATCACAGCCACGCCCGCTCGTCTCTGGGCTACTCCAAGTGGATGATTTTCTAACTCTCCTCCTACATGAGGAAATCCCCCCAACCGTGAGGAATTTGAAGTCCTGCTTTCTAATCTGCCTTTTGCCTGATTTAAGAAAAGGGAGCAGAGCACCACCTCAATTTTCCTTTTTCTTTCCTTGCCCACATGAGTCCAGGGAGCGTTTGTTAAGAGCCTGCCGTGTACATCTGGGGCTGCTGGGGTAGTTCACGGTGGGTAATGGGCTCGAGGTTGCTGTTCAGCGAACGTCGCTGCGTGTCAGGCTCCATCCTCGATGCCCTGCGGCCCAAAACAGCCTTGGCAGGGGTGGACAGACATCCCCACTTTCCTGAGGCGGGAGGGCTGTGCTCAGCCAGATTCACAGGGCTCCTCGCTCAGGGACAGAGACGCGATTTGACCCCAGATTAGTCTGATGCCAAAGCTGGGTGTTCCGGGAATTTAGGATTTCTTATCTCCCTGGCAATTGCTGAGCAGTTAGAAGTCAGCACTGGGCCACCCTCTGCTGTTCCTCCGTGTGTCCTGAGAGCCAGGGGTCTCTGCCCCCACTGCCGCTGAAATGAGCCCTCTGCCAGCTCTCCGCTCCCCTCCTGGCCATGCTCGGAGGGTTTGCCAGTGTCCCCTCCACAGCAGACCCCCACCTCTAGGCCTCACTCCCCCTCGTTCCGGGTTAGGGCCTCCTGTCCCCCAACCGAGGCCGCCTGTGCTTTTCTTGTCTGTTTCTGGTTCCTTTGAGGAGCCAGCCGTGTGCTGAGGGTTCGACAGAGCACAGGCGTGGAAGGGACCTGGAAGGAACACCAGCGTCCCTCAAGATGTTAATAGACGTTCCCCGGGAACAAGCTTTGTGGTCAAGGATGCTTGGAGAGCAACCAGATTTTAAACAGAGCCCCTCGGCGCCTGGCTGTGCACATTATAAGACGCAAATAGGTGTCCTGTGCAAGAAAACGTTCTGGTCTCTCAAAAGCTGCAGAAACTTCAGGCTGGCCCAGCTCTGCAGGGCATCTTCCCTGCGAGGCTCTCAGACCGCATTCGGCCTGTGACTCTTGGAGGGGGTTGGCATTCCGCGGACTTGCCGAGAGGCTGTCCCTGCCACTCCCCTGGCACAGAGCAGCTCTAGTCACCGCTGGGCTGTTACCTGATGCCAGAGGGTCACTGTGAGGGCCAGAAGCAAAGTCACCTTCCTGGCTTATCACCCACCTGCCATTCGGCCTGCGTGTCCGTCTGCCACGTGGCAAAGGTCGGCCTGCAGACCCTGCGGGGCCTTCTCCACCTTTAGGCCCCGCTGCCATCTCCCCCTTCCCCTCAGCTCATGAGTGCTGTGTGGGGATTCCCCCAGGGCTGGCAACGTGGAAAAGAGAAGAGGGAAATGCAGTCAGCCGTCCCTTTTCCACTCGGGATGTCAGGCCCACATGCACAGACAAGGCCATTCCCAGACCTGGGTGTCCAGACAAGCCCCTTAGCATTCTCCTGCTCGCCAAGGTCCCTCCAGTCCCCATCTCGGCCTCGTGCAGGTGCCGGCAGCCCTGCCCTGGCCTTGAAACCCCTGCTCCCTCCCTGGCCGGATGCTCCCAAGGGTGGATGCAGCTCCCACACCCAACTGGCTGCCCCCCCAGACACAGGGTATTGGTTAAGAGTGTGACACTGACAGGACTGCCTGGGGTCAGACCGAAGCTCCACAACCTTCCAGCTGTGTGGCCTCGGGCAAGTCACATTGCCTCTCTGAGCCTGTGGGGTGGTGGTGGTGCTCGGGGCGTCCCTAGATGAAAAGCACGTGGCATTGCTGGGTGCAGTAGGTGCTCGGCCAGTGTCAGCTGTGACTGGTGACGGGGGACCTGGGGGGTCCACCTGAGCACCTCTTACCACCTCCATCGCCTCCCTGTTTCAGACAATCAAAGGGCTCCAGAAGGACTTCTGAGATTCCTTAGCTGAGCTGAGAAAGTGCTTTTATAAGCAGCGGGGTCACGAGGCTTTGTAACAGAGCAGCAGCCATTGGTCCCCTTGCTGCCAGGCCTGAGCCACAGGCCTTACGGGTGAGCTTCGTGGATCCTCACCACAGTCCCGTGGCGGCAGGGGTGTTCTTATTACCCCGTTTCCTGGGGCGAGAAAACAAGACGCGGCAGGGCCCGTTATGGCTCAGGGCAAGCAGCGGGGACTGGGCAATGCCAGGCGTCCTCCCAGGGCTGTGACTCGGTGAGGGACCCGGGCCACAGGACCAGTGGCCAGGCTGCTGACCTGGGCTCAGGCAGGTGTCTGTCACGGCGAAGCTAACGCAGACGCTTAGACAGCATCTCTCCTGGACGAGACGCCGAGGCAGCGGGGTCATGGGCGCTGTTGGGGGTCGCCGCCTGCTATGCAGAGCCGGTGGATGTGGCTTTCACAGTAGCGCACGACAGTGCCCAGTTGTGGGGTCCCTGCCCTGCACGTGTCTGGGAGTTCCCCATCAGCCATTCGGCTTCCTGAGCTGGGGGTGAGCACCACGTGTCCTGGGTACCCAGGGCTCTGTCCCCAGCCCACCTGACCCAGCCTCACTTCGTGTTAATATTAGTCGTTTTAATGTGAACCGTTCAGTGGCGTTAAGTACATTCACAGCGTCGTGCAACTGCCACGTCTGTCTAGTTCCAGAGCATTTGCATCACCCAAAAGAGAATCCTGTACCCGTTAAGTGTCACCCCTCATTCCCCCTCCCCCCAGCCCCTGGCAACCACTGAGCTGCTTTCTCGTCTCCATGGATTTACCTATTCTGGACCTTTCATGTTAATGGAACCGTACAGTGCGTGACCTATTGTGTCTGGCCTTTTTCACGTAGCCTGATGTTTTCAAGGTTCATCCACGTGGTAGCGTTGTGAGAACAATATTCCATTGTGCGGGTAGCCCATTTTGTTTATCCAGTCATCTGTTGATGGACATTTGGGTTGCTTCTACCTTTTGCCTGTTGTGAATAATGCAGCTATGAACAGTGGCATGCAGGTTACACACCTGGGGTGGAATTGCTGGGTCACGTGGTAATTCTCCATTTAGCTTTTTGACCCAGCTTCTGTTTTAGTTCTGATGGGTGAGCTCCCGGGCTTCCCCTTTGGCCCCGAGCCCCCAGTCCATAGGACTCTGCTATCCCCTGAGCACCACACGTGAGCCCTACTCCGGCTGACGTGCTGCCATCCATGGCCTGAAATGCAAGTGGAGCGGCTCCTCCAGCCAGGCATGCGCGGTCCCCATCACGTCGGTGACCTTGTGACTCCTCCCAGCAGTCTGGGATGGAGGCCTCGTTGGCCCCGTTTTGCAGGTGAGCAGGCCGAGGCGCACAGAGGCCAAGTACTTTCCCCTAAGACCACAGAGCTAGGAAGTCACGGTCAGGATTCAAGTCCGGATCCCTCGGACTTCAGTCCTTCCCAGGGCGGTGTTCTACTTCCTTGGAGGCCCGGGCCAGGGGCCACGCTTGAGCCCATGAAGACTTGTGTGCCTGTCCCAGGCCAGCTGTGATTAGAGCAGAAAGCGAGCGGTGTCAGCGGGAGTCCACGGGACGGCCCCACGAGCCCTGTGGAAGCTTCGCTAAAAGCTGAACTTGGACCCGGGAGTTGGGCGGCAGCAGCAGAGTAGACTCTTCGGGGAAAAGCCCGCTGAGCATGAGTTAGTGTGGCCACACCAGAGTTAGCGACTCATCCGGAAGGGGAGAAGTGTCAGCCCCACCCAGGAACCCTGTGACCACCACCCGCCCCTGCCTACTTCCGGCCAGTAAATGAAGGCCGGTCCACGGAACCTATCACCTCACAGCCTTGAGGCTCCGGCAATGGTGGGCCAGTGCGGTGATGCCGACAGAAATTCCCCCCGCTGCCCGCCTCTGCCCTAACCGTTCCAGCTGCTCCCAGCTCTCTCCTGTGGGTTCTTACCTCTGCACCTTTGCTTCCACTGTGCTCTCATCTGGGTCCCTTCCCCCCACCCCCCTCAATCCTCCCCATCTTCAAGGTCCAGCTCACAGGCTTCCTGAACCACACAGTCTTCGTGGGTTCACAACAGATTCTCCCTCCCCTTCCTCCTTGCTAAGAGGCTTGGGTTTTACAGGCTTAAATGCCTGGGTCCAAATCCAGCCCTGAGCTGTGTGGCCCTGGACCGGCCCCTGACCCTCTCTGAGCTTCAGCTCCCCTGTGTATAAAATGCTGATAACGGTGCTCGCCTCCCTGCTGGTTATGAGGACTAGAGGTCACGTACGCTGTATACCTAGCAGCTGCCCAGCCCTTGGCAGGACTTGGAAATGGCCATCCTCGTGCCGACTCTGGTGGGTCTGTCCTGCCTCTTGCCTGCGGGTAAGGCCCGGCCTATTCCACCTCCCTGGGGGGTCTCTGTGTGTGGCGAGGCGTGGAGCCTCCCCACCCGGGGCCTGACTCGTGTGTGTGTGTGTGTGTCTGTGTGTGTGTGTGTATGTGTGTGTTGGCAGCTGGACAAGATCGAGGGTGTCTTCGAGCGACCGAGTGACGAGGTCATCCGGGAGCTGTCCCGGGCCCTGCGGCAGGCACTGGGCGTATCGCTCTTCGGGATCGACATCATCATTAACAACCAGACGGGGCAGCACGCCGTCATCGACATCAACGCCTTCCCAGGTGAGCGGTGGGGCCGGGCGCCGCCTTCACTGGTCTGTAGACTGGCAGCCTTGGGCGGGTGGTGGGGGCCGGAGAGTCGGGCTGACCAGCTCCATCCCTCACTGTCTGGGGCCCAGGGTTGGAGCAGCCCCTGCTCAGCCTCAGCCCCACCTGCCAGTGGGTTTACAGGGCACGTAGTGGGCCTGCAGCTAAACACGTGTTCTTTCCCCTGCCTCTCCTGGCCCGGTGCCACCAGCAGTGGCCTTTCGGGGCCAAATCTCAGCTGACCTCTTGGGCCCTTGTAGGTTTAAAGAGCTGAAAGGACACCGGAGGGCATATAAATCCCAGTTTACACGCAGGGAGGGAGGGAGAAGTTGTCCCAGGTCATACGGCAGGGTAGTGGCAAGGCCGTGCTCCTCCCCCCGCCCTGAGCCACCATGCTGGGGACACGCTCGGATCCGGCCAGCTCCCCGCGGCTGGGGCGTCTGCTCCATGCTGTCTGCGGCAGCCCTGAGGCGGGAAGCACTGCCGGGCCTGCTGCCCCACCAGGCTCTGCCCTGCACCCCTCAGATCCCAACTCAGGGAGGGGCTCAGCGGGAGACATCACCCGAGAACCCTCAAGGGGACTGTTAGCTTCAGCAGTGATGGTGGCGGTGGCCCTGGGCTGAGCTACTTCACAGAGACACGTGCTGAGGCCAGGCGACTCCCCATCTCACGGCAGGCCAGGGACAGTGCTGCTTCGCTCCCTCTGGCCCAGAGCAGCCTGGGCGCTTACCCTCTCGGTGGGCATCTCTGTCTCAAGGCCGTGGCTCTTGCCTTTATTAAGCACCTGCTCTGGAGGTAGAGCCATCGTCACTGCTCAGTGGATATGAAGAGAGGAAGCGATTCCCACCCTCGGGGAGGCTAGCATCTCACGTGAGAGCCCTGCTAGCAGGAGGGCACTGCGCAGTGGGCGTCTGCAGGGAGCAGGAAGCCCCCGTGCTTGGGGAGCATCATGGGGCACCAGGCTGGGTGCTTGACACGTGTCCCCTGCACTGAGAGCATGTGAGCCAGGCCCGGCCAGCACCACGATTCACAGCCAAGGAAACCCAGGTTCGGGGGAGGCCCCTGCTGTCTCTGTCATGCAGTTTGTCGAAGGCCCACTGCATTCCCCAGCTGCTCCAGACAGTGCGGGGCGGCGGGGGCCCTGCCCTCGGGGGACGGGGGTGCCAGGGGCTCCTCTGTGAAGCGGGAGTGGGAGCAGGGCCTGGCAAGAAGGGAGGGAGCCACCCCTAAGGATCCCGGGCAGGGCCTGCGGAGGGGGCCCTGTGGCCCGAGGCCTCGTGCAGCAGGGAGGTCAGAGGTCAGAGGGGAGCCCACCGTGTGGCCGTTCACTCTGAGCAAGGTGGCGCGGCCATCTGAGGTCTGTGTTCGTGAATAGAAATTGAGACCCTTTGGGACAATGGCCTATTTCTCTGTAGTCACCGTGGGTGCAGCCTGGACGGAGAGGTGGGTTTTTGATGAGCGAGGGTGACGGAATGAGAGAGCACAGGGAAATTGAGGCTGCGTCAGGGGAACAATTATAATAAATCAGGATCTAAATCAGGGAGGACGTGGAGGGAACGACAGCGAAAAGGTGGCTGAGTCAGTGGATTGGGGGGACCGGGCAGGGCAATGCCCGGCTGGTGGGGTGGAGGCTCTAGAAGGATGGGGGGGGCGCGGGGAGGAACTCTGCAACTGAGCTGCGGATTTGTGCTGGGTCCTGAGTTGGACCTGCCCAGTCAGCACCTGTGCGACTCGGGCCGGACATTCTGAGGGCGTCCCGGGTGTTCAGAGAAGGGACGGCCACTGTGAGCCAGCGTGGATGGGGGAAGCCAAGAGGAGGCCCCTGGCGGGCCAAGCCTGAGTGATGGAGCTGAGCCCCGAGGAGACTGTGAGGGAGCCCGGTGCTGAGTTAGGCCCCGGGAGTGTGTGGGGCTTGGGGCCCAGAGGAGGCGGTGTCCAGGAGACGGGCCTCCTGGGGCCCCGCCCTCTCCCTGCCGGGTTTACGGGCCTGGATCTGGAGTCCTCATGGTCCTGGGCCCCCTCACCCTGTGCCTCGGGCCATGGGTGTCCGGTAGCAGCCCCGCCACCCAGGCTGCGTGCTGGGCTCTGGGTAGTGGTGACAGCAGTGGCCCCCAGTGGTGCCCAGCCTGCCTGGGGACCTTTACCCCCAGGGTTTCATTTCATTCTCACAACCACACAGCGTGCAAGGGACCATCAGGATCTCCATGTACTGCCGGGCACGCGGAGCCAGGGGGCTGGGCGACACGTCCAAGGTCACATGGCTACCAGGTAGTGGGGCTGGGCCTGGGCCCTGGGCCCCTGACCTGAGGCTGCCTGCTCCTTAGCTTGAGTCGTGGGTTCAGATCCTGGCTGCCCTCACCATCTGCTGAGGCGAACCTCCGGAGGGGGCAGCCTCAGTGTTCGCTCGTGCACAGTGGGAACTCTTCTCCCCTCCTAGCAGAGGAGATGGCGTGTGCACAGTGCCTGCCCTGCAGCGCTCCTTCACGCCTCAGTCCGCCCTCCCCAGGCTGCGTGGAGCCGTGGGCCGGGCCTCGTCTGGGGACGGCAGAGCTGTTGCTGAGGGAACAGCTTATGTTCCTTGGTGGCCTGTCAGCGGATCTCAGCTCTTCTCCCCTGCTCGCATCTCTGCCCTGGAAACCCAGCAGCGCGCCTGCCGATGGGCCGTGACTGCCCTGCCCTTCACCCCCGGCCCCAGGGCCGAGGAAGCGCCCAGTCCTAGAGTGGGGCACCCAGCACCACATGTATTCAAGGCACGGGTGGCACCAAAGGGCCTGGTTCAGATCCCAGTGCTGCTACTTAACAGCTTCGTGTCCTTGTCTGTGAAATGGAGATAACCCTCAGGTCCCGCTCCCCGGGGGCTGTAAGGATGCCACGAGCAAGGAACGTGAAGCATGTAGCCGGGGGCCAGCACTCGGTGAGCCTGGATGAACGCTAGCCCTGGACATTGTCACCATACCCACCGTCACAGTGAACATGTGTCCACCTGCTGATGGCTCTTTTGGTGTTTGGGGCTGGTTACTTAACTCTGTGCCTCCACTTCCTCATCTGGAAAATGGGGACAGAGGGTTGCGATGATCAAGTGAGGGAGTGTTGAGCAGGGCAAGTGCTGTGCATGCCAGCATATACCCAGTTTTGTTTTTCCCCTGGGCGCCTCTGCTTGCCCCTCTCAGCCTCGGGCTCCCTCAAAACCACAGCACTGTTTGCTGGACACATAAGAGCGTGCACAGTGAGGCAGCCCCATCTGCCTGGCCCCTGGGCAGCCTTTTCTGTACGAGCTAACGCACCTGCCCAAGTCCAAACCTTCATTCTCCTGCAGCTCGTGCCAACGGCTGTGAAAACCATCCCAGAGGACGTGCGAGGGGTCGGCACCTCTCAGCACCAGGCCTGGTGTCAGCGATGGGGTCACATCCCAGGGCAGGGGGTGGTACCTGGGCCCCCTCCCGATGCAGGCACGCTGTCCCTTTTTGGGGACCTGCTTTGTGTCCCGATCATTGTTCTTGCAGCTGTGTGCCCGGTTCTCATTGCTGCAAATTGGTTCAGGCAGGCGGGGGCGGGGGCACCCACCCCGTGTCAAGTTTCTTTCGAAGCAGCTTTCGAAAAGAAGTCAGCAAAATCCTCGAGCTAGATCCGAAATTTGCGCGATGGGTGGCTCCGAGGACTGTTTGCTGACATTCGCAATTGCATCTGTGATGGGAAACGCAGGCCCCAGGTGGGTACCGGCGGTTTCTGTTCAGGAGATCTGGGCCTGCTTGTTAGGGAAGTGGTGTTAGTGTGGTCGCCTTGTTGGGGGGTGCCCAGAGTACGCAGCATGGCGGGCCTCCTTGCAGGTATTGATACTTCGGGGGTGACAGGGAAATGGACTCAGTTCCAGGAGCAGCTGCCGTTGCTCAGGGCTCACCCACGTTCCAGCCCTCCCAGTCCTGCCCACAGGAGCCCCCCTTCCCCCGTCCTCAGTTTACACACAGGGAAGCTGGAGCTGGGCCACGTGGAGGAGGAGGGGTGTTTCTGATTCAGAGCTGGAGGAGCGGGCCTTCTGTCCTGCCACCTCTGGCCACTCCACCTCCCCCGCATGATGGCATCAGACCACGTCGGGAGGGGGGTGATTAAATGAGATGCCAAAGCTGTGCTCAGCAGGGACAGGGCGCTTTCTCAGCGGCTTCTCACCCTCCGGGTGCAGCCCAATTCAAGGACTGGCCCCTCGGGGCCGCACGCACGGGGCTTGGAGCCCAGGCTGTGTGCACTCGACCAGCCCTCGTGGGCCCGGGAGCCCCTTCGCGCCCCCCGCACCCACCTGGCTCAGCGTGCTGTCTGTCTCTCCCACCCCCAGGCTACGAGGGCGTGAGCGAGTTCTTCACGGACCTCCTGAACCACATCACCACCGTGCTGCAGGGCCAGAGCGCGGCCGCGGCAGGCACGGGGGACGCGGCCCCGCTGAGGCACAGCAGGCTCCTGGCGGAGCAGGCGGGCGGCCTGGCGGCCGAGCGGACGTGCAGCGCCAGCCCCGGCTGCTGCAGCAGCATGATGGGCCAGGAGCCGCCCTGGACGGCCGAGGCCGACGTGGGCGGCGTGGGCGCGGGCAGCACCTCCAAGCTGCCGCACCAGAGACTCGGCTGCACCGCCACCGTGTCGCCCAGCTTCCAGCAGCACTGCGTGGCCTCGCTGGCCACCAAGGCCTCCTCCCAGTAGCCACGCACGGGGCCCGGGACCCTGAGGGGCAGCGCGGGCTGCAGAACACACACACGCTGGGCGAGCAGCTCACGACGGTGACGCTACTACTAAGAATTCCCAAGGATCTGATTCTCCTTCTCCTTCTTTTTTTTTTTTAATTTTTAACCTGATTCTCTGATGTCATGATCTACATGAGGGGTGGGGGTGGGGACGGAAGAGAACCCCAAGTGGTCCAGCCTCGCGGAAGAGGGACAATCCCGCCTGATTCCTGCTGTGCAGATCTCTCCACTGAGTTTACACACGCTTGTGTTTTCAACACTAGGTCTGAATGTGAGGTGGGGTGTGCATGCGTGCGTGTGTGGGGGTGTGCGTGCGTGTGCGTGGTCGCCGTGCGTGTGTGAGTGCCCGAGCACGTCCACGTCTGTTCTTCTCAATGGCTGCTGTGGCCCAGGCCTCGGGGACCCTGGAGCAGGCCATCCCTGGTCAGGCTGTCGGCGGCTGAGCAGAGCCAGCAAACGGTTGCCCGTCTCTCTTCTCTCCAAGCCGCCACGCCAGGCCTGGCCCCGTTTCCCTTACCGCTGGCTTAAAGCCCCATCCGGTGTGCAGCTGCCCCCTCCCGAAAGCAGGAGGAGCCAGGGGAAGCAGGAGGCCCCAGATACCATTTCCTTGCGGATTCCACGCAGGGAGTCTGGGCTGTGGTCCACCTGCTGCCCGCTCACGAAAGCAGAGGAGGAGGAGGAGGCTTCCCTGGGAAGGCCACAGCCCTGGGCCGGCTGCCTTTCTCCACGTGCAGCTCCCTGGAGTCCACTAGGCCCGTCAGCACGTGTCCCACGCAACGGGGCCTCCTTCCCTGACCAAGCGCCACTGCTCCCTGGACCCGGGAGGAGCCTGCCTGGCTGGGAACCTCTGGGCTGATCCTGCTTGTGCCAAGGATTTGTGCTGTGACTTTGGGCCGATCATTCCAAGAGTCGCCGGGCAGTCATGACCAGGGAACTCAAGGGCAGGCTTGACGCCCTGGCCCCTACAGTGCGGCCTGTGTCTCCGTGACGTCAACCCAGATGAGCGTCTCCTTGGCATCGAGGCGATTTGGGGCTCTCCCCCCAGGCAGGAGGAGGCTGCGCGTTGCTCCACACCTGCCCAGAAGGCCTGATCCACCCCTTTCATGCTCGCTGCCAGCCCCAAGCACTGAGCCAGCCAGGTGCGAGGGGGCTTGCAGCCCCAGAGGCGAGAAAGCACATTACCCGCTTCTCCTATTAGAGTCACCCCAGCCCCTGATGGCAGCAGATCAGTCCAATCCCGAGGTCCAGGCAGGCCGGCAGCCCCCTTTGCAGAGAAGGGGATCAGTGAGGGGCTTTGTCAGTCCTCGGGCCGTGTGACCATCCGGCGGGATGCATAGGACCCCCTGAGCATAGCCTTGTGTCTTCTCTCATCAGTCCCTCTTGAGGAAGAGGAACAGGCCTCTGGGCCGTCCTGCGTGGTCCAGGGAGGATGGACTGAGAGCGGCCGCTGAGCTGGGCGCTCAGACACCTTCAGGCCTGGTCAGCAGGGACGTGGCGGTCGCCCACTTTGGGAAAGGAAGGGCTGGGGGGAGGGCGGCTGCCGTCAGAAGTGCCCAGCTGTCCTAGAAACCACGGGCCCTCCGACCACCGTGTTTACACGACTTGAGTGTTGAACCCTGATTATAATGTCTGTACGTCGCCTTTCCTAGCCTAACCCCAAGCGCCGGGGGAGCAGGAAAGCGTGGCCGGCCTCTTGCACTGCTTTGTCTCCAAAATAAACTACTGAAATCAAACTGCATTTCACACGTGTTTACAAAACGTTGCTAAGATCCTGTGCCCTCCTCCAGTCTTTTAATAAAACAGCTTTACCTTTTTGAGTAAAATTCCAGTCCTGAACCGAGTCAGGACAGGTCGGGAGTGCAGGGTGACCCGGTGCCAGGCGGGGCCCCTGGCCACATCGTGTCCTGTTTAATCGATGCCTCCCCTCCGGGTCCCACACGTTAGCGTCCAGGGCCCAGATATCAAGTAACTGTTTTGCAGTGACGTGGCACTTTCCACCAGCCTCGATGCGGGTGGCCAGCAGGGTGGGGAAGCCGAGGGGCGGGGTTAGGCTTCATAAAGGCCCAGGAGCTGCGTGGTGGGTGGTGGGGAAGGGACTGGCCACTCTCGAGGGCATGTGCGGGCCTCTCCCCGGGCCCAGCGTCTCTGCAGGGGTGGAGGGAGCGTAGACGGGGAGAGGGTTGTGAGCAGCAATGAGGTCTCACCAAGCGACCCCCATCCTCAGTGTCACCTGATGCACGCTGACCGGGTCCCAGGACACCGGCCATGGAGTCGGTCTCCTCTTAGGTCTCCGTGTCCCTGGCCCTGGGGCTTCCGCATCAGGGGAAGACAGACCCCCTCAAGGCCCTCAGCCTTTGCGGTCTCTTCTTCCCCAGGGCTTGGTGCTGCTGCCTCTGGCCACTCTCAGCACCTTCGAGGGCCCGTGGGGAGGGCCTGCTGTGGTGTACACGTGTGGTGCCTGGAGCCGGCCCTGCTGGCACCCCGGGGGCAGTTGGGACTCTCCTCCCCAAGCTGTTTTGCCAGTTGGTGGGCCTGTTGGGGGCCGTGCCCTGTGGCACCTGGGTGGTGGTCAGTGGCTGGGGCTGCCGAAGGGCTCCAGGAGCAAGTGGCGGGGCCACGTTTTGCCTGAGGCCTTGGGTAGGTTCCGAGGGTCACTTGCAAGGTCTCTGCCCTGGGCAGCCTGGAGCAGAGGCTGCGGGCCGGGTTCTGCTTGCAGGTTATATCATGATGTGGTTCCACAAGCACTCAGCCCCAACTGAGTATAGGAGCTGGATGTCTCCTCCCCACGAGAGCGTGGGGGGCGGGGGGGTTGCCCTTGGCAGCATGGGTTTGCAGCGCGGGGTGGGTCGGGCTGGACCAGAGATCCTGCAGCATCACCTGCAGGAGACGGATGCAGCTGGAGTCCCCGGGGAGTTTATATGGGGCATTGTCTGAGTTAATGCCATCAGTGAGGGAGAGAACAACCTCCAGAAAGGATTCCTCTTTACCCAGAGGACTGCCATGTGCGCTGTATGGAAGGTTGAAGGACCCTGGCAGGAAGCCGTCCTTTAATCCAATTGGGAAGAGCAGCTGTTGTCTGCCCTGCGGCCCCTCTAGGACCGAGGGACACTGCGGCGCCCTGTCCTTGCTGGAAGACTGGTCCTCAGCTCAGGGACTCGCAGGCCGCTGGCCACACAGAACCATTGAATGGCTTCACTGGTGTCCCTGGGGTTTGCATCTGCCCTCCCCTCTCCCCCCTAGAAACTGACCCTTCACCCAGCGGGATCCCCGACAGCTCGTCTCTCTTCCCGGGCCATGGCTCAAGGGCCCCTGAGCTCCAGAGACCTTGAGCGGCGTGCTGGCTGTCCTGAAGGAGCACAGCCCCTGCACGTGGCTTACCACGAGGTAGAGGAGTGCATCCACCCTTGACGAAGGTTCTGGCCTCCTCGGTGAGCCTGGCCACGCCCTGATGCCGCACACACCACCCTGCCCATGCCAGAGCCTGAGCGTGAGATGCTGCGGCCGAGGCCTCCAGACAGGCGGTTCTCCTGTCGGTCCTGCCCTCCGTGCGCAAGGCTCTGCCTCTGCCCCTTCTCTGCACAGCCTTGCCAGTGTGATCTTGGAATGGCCCTCCACCCACATGCTGTTTACTGGAGAGCCGACTGTTGGCATGGAAGCACCCGGGCCCTTTTCCTTCTGGTTCCGACCACCAGGCCCCACCCAGACCACCTGGGGCCTTTTCCAGAAATGGTTGCATTTCCCTTCTACTTCCAGAGTTGCCCATGACCTGGCGACTTGGAGGGACTCTTTCCCACAGCCAGACCAACCTCGGCTTCCGGGGCTGGGTGTGGACCCCACCTCTTTGAAGCTTGCTTTCTCTTTCGAAAAGCTTCTCCCACAGTGATTTCACCAAGACGTTGGCAGTTCCAGTTTCGGCGCTGACACCTGTGCTTTGTGACAAACGTTTGTTTCAATCCTGTTCACGAGCCACGTTTGCCAGAACCCCAAGCTGGCTCGTACTGAGTTTGTGTGCATACGTGTATATAATGTTTATGTGAATCTATATGTACTATGTGTAAAATCACGGCTTCTGTAAAAACCAAGAACCTCTGGCTCTTTTGACTTGGTTGCACTTCTGCCCCGTGTGTTTATGACAACACAGGTGGCCCACCTCTGGGATGGGGTATCTCAGGGACAAGGTGTCCTGTGTTCTCTTTATCTGCTAAGTGGTCTTGGTGGTGGGTGTCCTGATAGTTGCCTAATACAGTTAGTGCTGTGTTTGTTATTTCGGTAATTGTTGGGGATGGGGCGTAAACCTGTCCCTTTGAAACATGTGAATAAACACCTTATGGCGCCAGCTCTTTGGAGGGTGTCCCTCTGTGCTTCAGGGGATGAGAGGCAGCAGCAGCCCCCTCGCCGGACTCAGGAGAGGCCCAGACTTGCCAAGAACCCTCAAGTGACTTGTATTGCCATTGTAGTGGTTTTCTGGTCCAGGCTGTCTAGACCCTCGAATCCTCACCATGATCAGGTGAGGAGGTCATAAGTATTGTCCCCATTTTATAGATGAGGCTCCAAGAGCACCAGGAATGCTTTTCCAAGCTCTACAGCTAGGCTGGGGATTCCAGGCCCACATTCTCTGGGCAGTGTGTTTCTTGAAGTCAGGGCTTGTCCGGGCCACTCCTGTGTGCCCAGGCCTGCCGGGCCCATAGCAGCTGCTCACGGGTGTTCGTTGAATGACTGAATGATCGGCCCTGATATTCAGCTGGTCCACACCGGTCCAGCACACCAGCCTGTCTGTTCTGGTTGCATAATCCTGCAGCCCCCGTGGTTAAACGTTTTGGGCATCATTCCTGCCTGCGACTTCGATGAGTCATCTCGCCCTGTGAGCCTCAGTTTCCTCGTTCTCAAAACTGCGACTAAGACTGCCGTGCTATAGTGAACCATTAAGTTCAAGAACTTCAGACGCCCCAGAGTCCTGTGCACGTATCAGGTCAGAGGGGATGACAGATTTATGCCGAGGGGGGCCTGCAGCTCAGAGGCCCAGGTCAGGAAGTCCAAAGCTGGCTGGGGCCTGTGGCCTTGGTGACAGGCACTAAACCGGGGCTTGTCAGGGCTTCCACCCAGCAGAGAGAGAACAGAGGCTGTTTTCCCAAACGGGCCCCGCCCCTGCACGGCCCAGTTCATGTGCGGCTGGGAGTTAGGGGAAGAGTTATTTAATCCCACACGTGCTTTGGGGCAGGTGTCAGCGCCACTTTACAACGAGGAAACTGATGCTTCAAGCAGCAATGTCACTTGCCCACGATCCCCTGGCTGGAAAGTGGCCCAGAGTCACCCCAGGGGAAGTGAACCTCCCCTTGTCCTTTTGCCTGAAATCCAGTCCATCCTACCCCACTTGGAGTCAAGGCGGGGGAAGGTTCAAAGAAACAGGAAAGAGCCCAGAGCAGATTTATTTATCCTTAGATAAATTTTGTACAGAGTATGTTAGAGTCAGGAGTTCTCAGCTTTCACCCAAAAGTCAGAAGTTATTGCAGTTGTGCCCAATGGCTCTAATGGTGGGAGGGAAACTTCGAGAAAGCTGCCCGTGTTCAGAGAGAGGAAAATTGTTTAAAGTCAGGGGTCCGCCCTGCGGGGGCCACACTGAGGCAGGGGTCAAGTACAGGAGGAAAGGAGCGTTGGGGCAACAGGGTGGCTTGGGCTTGGGCAGGTTGGGGGCGGCCTCCCTACTGGAAGCAGCGCCCAGGCCATCTGGCCAAGACCTGCAAAGGGGACAACAGAGCCAGGACCACAGGGTGCCTCGGGGCCCTGGCTGGTGGGGCCAGCCGGCGCCTCAGCCCCGCCGCAGCCCCTGCAGCTCGTGGGCCACCTTCTCCAGCTCCGCCTCGATGGCCGACAGGCTCTCCAGCTCCTGGTCCTAGGAGAGAATGTGAAGAGTCCCACGGGGACTGGCCCAGGGAGCCTGTGCCAGCAGCATGGGGCGTGCAGACAGACTGGTTGTGCCCGGGTTAGCTGTGTGGCCTTGGACAGGTGGCTTTGCCTTTCTGAGTCTCAAGGGCCTCATCTGTTCCATGGGGACAGTGATGCCACCCTGCGGGGCTGCTCTGAGGGGCACTGGGCGCAGAAATGTGCCCTGGTGGACGCAGGCCCACCGCCCCCTGAATGGCTCTGGGCAGGCACATGGAAAACGAAGCCTCCGGTGCCCTCCAGAGCGCCTTCCAGCGCCCCGACCCCAAGGCCTAGACTGTGACGATGGCTTCCTGGGTGAGGCCGTGCCTGGGTTTCCTGTCTGCCACGGGCCTTCCTACCTGAGGGGTCAGCAGTCTGTGGCCCAGGTTTCAGGACGTGAGACCTGCCTAGGGCTGGGCTTGCATCCTCAGTCCCAGTCACTGGGTGCCCAAGCTCCAGCTGCCAGGGTGGTCCAGGGCAGCAGGGGACCCTCTGGGACTGACACCCACAGAGCATGCCCTCAGACTCTGAGCAGGGGTCAGGGAAGGCCACGCCCCAGCTTTGACCTGAGAGGGGTGGTCTTCCTGGGGTCCCTGCCTGATGCCAAGCAGAGGGCACCCACCTGGGGCCCAGTCAGAATAGATGGATGATGGTTGCCATGGAAACAGGGACCCCAGAGGCCCCCATCTTGGAGTAGCCCCTGGGCAGGAGTTCTGTAATTCTGGGGCTGTTTCTAAGATCTTTGGGCTAAGTGGATGGGGCCCTGCTCCGTCCTGTCCACAGGACTCAGGGGTCCCCGTTTCTCCACCCTGTAGC